CTGCCTTTATTTACCACACCTGTATAGAGTATAATCTTCAAGTGATGCACTCCCACAAACTTGCACCACATTTGCCTGCTGTCTTCATAAATTCATCTTAAAATTTCAAAGAATTACACTTTGGCACTTACTAATGAATTAGAGTTTCTTCAGCTTTGCCATTGTTTCTTTGTTTTTGTAAAACAAAGCCTTCTTTGCTGATGTTCCATGCGAAACTGATCTTGAGTTAAAGTGCTGTATATTTTGGTTTTCTTTGCAGGGAAGCTGGTGAATGTCCCTCTGGAGCAGCTCCCCCTCTTGTTCAAAGCAGTCTTGCACTCCTGCAAATCCAGCCTGACCAGCTACAGGACCGGCCCGTCGCCCTGTGTGACCACCTCCTCCGGAAACTAAATCCTCCCCGACCGCCCGAGTCGAGGGACTGGTCTCCCTTCTTGTGAATGTGACAAGCAGCTAGTTTGTTGTTTTGTAACTTTTTTCTTTATATATTTATTACACGACAGAGCTGAATGTATGCTGATTTACACTGTGCACATGCTTCTGTACAAAACAAATGCTCGTAGATGCATTGGTCTTTGGAGTTTACAAGTGTGTATCCAGTTTGCTCAATGTCTCGGTGTTGCCATTTTAGAGCTAGACTTTAAAAGAGTTTATTTTATTCAGACGGGGCGGCTAGACACATGTGACGAGTGTTTTGAGACTACCTCAGGAAGATGTTGTTGCTATTTTCAGGTACCTTTTCTTGCTGTTAAATGAAGAGTTGCCCAGTCTAAAACCAATCCCTGTGGATTCTTTGGCACCTCAATCAGAAACAGAATGTTCAAAGGAGCTGCATAAATCCCAGTTTGAAAAACAGTGTTTTGTTACACTGAAAATGCAAAATTACTTAGCAAAATTGAGCTACTTTATCTGCATGGACTCTCAGACATCCTGCTTATGGGAGGCGGTCTTGTCAATTTAACATTCCACGAGTTAAGGTGACAGTTATTGGATCTGTGGGATCATTGAAAAAGGAGCATACGGGTATTTTTTACAATCATAGACTGGGGCTTTATTGTAAGGCTTTATTGCAGGGGAAGGGGAGGATAGCTAGGTTTGCTGTTTTTGTTTTATTGTTTTTCTTTCTTGACCAAAGTGTTATGCAATGCTTTTTCCAAACACCCATTGATGGGTAGGGAGCTGACAGCTCAACAAAAATCTTTCTTATCAATGAAGGATCAGGATAAGAAATTAATCAATCTGTGTCAGAGGGGAGACCCTCTGCTGGACAGACACATATGTCGCCAGATTTCATTCTAAATGCTGCTAAACCTGCACACATTCTTGTGCTCACATATATGCATAGAGCAGACATGATGCTTCTCATCAGAGGGCTCGTTTTTTGAGCTCTGCAGCCTTCAGTGCCAGGAAACATGGCACGTTTCAGCCTTCTCTCAACACACTGTAACTGTAACAATACTGGCTTTGTGTGGTCTGTGTCATCTCGCATTTCTTCAATATATTTAGAACAAACACAAAACAAGAAATGCACAAACTTCCTGGGTCAAAACAACAGATGCCTAAAGTGCACTGAACCAACTGAAATGAACCATAAAAAGTCAGCGTTTATCACCTGCAGTTCAGTTCCAGCCAGAGTCGAACTCTTTCTTCTGTTGACTTCAAACCAGTTATTACATTCATGGTTCACGTCAGTTTTGGAGGAATGTTGACTGTTTTCTGGTCTTGTTAGGTTCAATCAACATATTGCACAGACCCAAGACCAAGAGCAGTTTAAGTCCCACGTGACCCTCATCTAAAAAAGTGTGGACCCAAGACTTGGTCCAGATCTGCATCTCAGGGTTTCAGAAGGCATGGCTGGCCCAACACCAGCAAATGACATTTCCTTTGTGAAAAATTGGCTTCAAGTTTACCATCTGAGTTATTATCACTTTAACCTGGCTAATAGTGGACTCAGTGTGATTGACCCAGGCTCAATGAATCCAGGCTAGATTTAGAAGATTTAGATAACTTATCCCTGGCTTGCATACCCTCTGTGACAGATATGCACATTGTTTTAAAAAGAATAGCCATAGAAAATGGTCTTTATTTTTTAAGTATGAGATGATCATTTCAGACTGCTTAAGTCTTCTTGGATTCCTCCAGTTTTTAGTCGTTTCATTATTTACGAACAATTGAAATGCAGACAAAATGCAGTCCTCGCAACGACTCTCTTTTTTGCACACAACGGTGAGGTTCGGAGAGCTTGACCCTTGACCTCAGCCCCTGCCCACCCAGTGTGTTCCTCTCTCTCAGGTCCCTACCGACCTGGATCTAAACAGGGTAAAGTGAGTGTTATGTATTGCGTTCAGGAGTTCCTCAGTGATCATGCTGATGTACTTGTAGTATTAGTAGATGTAGGTTCCAGGACATTGTAGGTCCTCTTGTAGAAAAGTGTTTTTTGTTTTTTTTTTCTTTTCCACTTTATTTCCTTCAAGGTTCCTACCGCACCCACCCCTTCATCAGTGAAAGTGGATGTAGTTTGAAGGTGAGCTCTCTTGGCATTGGTGATGGACAAAGTGAGAGGCAGTGGCATTTTGAGTAAATGTCACAGCTTCGCTCTCGTTGGTTTCCATCCACCGTTGTGTGTGTGTGCAGCCTTAACGACACCTCCAGTCCAATGTAGTGTTCCTCTTCAAATGCTTCAGTTAGCCTCCTTTCATCTTTTAATTTTTTATACCTTTTCATGTACCATTGTAGTTATTGTGAATGTTTTGGGTTTTTGTTGTTTTTCACATATTCATTGTCTTTTTTTTTTTTTTTTTTTTGAGTGAAGACAACCCGTATCATTTTCTAAGCTTTAACTTTTATGTTTAAACGTAACTCTTTCCCTAGTCCACGGTGTATGGTTTATCAGAGAAAGTCTTTTTCAGGCAATGTCAGCCACATTTTATATGGACAATACTGACATACTACCATCAGAAAAATGTACATTAGAATTCCGGGAAACGGCCTCAGGACTGAATTAACGAGTTATTTCATCTAAGTAAAAAAAAAAAAAAAAAAAAAAAAAAAAAATCAAAAAATTTTTAACTTGCCTTTTGTGGTTTCTAGCCATGTTGATAGTTTGGGTTTTATCTGCCCTGTCTTTTGATGTATCCGCCTCCATCTCAGACTACAGAGACAAATGGAATTTCATTGTGGTGTTCACATTGTTGAGATATATTTTAGTTTCCAGTCATGTAAGTAGGCTACACATCTTGTGAAGTCAATTTGAATTCTATTCATCTCCATTGTGTTGGCGTAGACAGAAATTTCTAAATCTGCACTCAAAAAACCAAAATATCTGCATGGCTACATACAACTAAATGTACATGAGAAATGTGTTTTTTTCTTGTACTTTTGGTAAACTGACCCTTTAGACCACATAATCTCAGGGATAGATAATTTTATGTAACAAAAGCCTATGGATGTGATTTTTAAAGGATAGATCCCTCTTAAATTCAAGACTTTACCACTGCTAAGAAATGTGTTAGCTGTCAGGTTTTGGTGTCTGGTATTTAACAGTTCCTTCAGACACACTGGGGGAACTTTAGGCTACTAGAGAAAGGTTCAGGGTGGCCAGCAACAAAGTCAATTCAGGAATGCACTGAATATTACACACTGCTAAGATCTGACAGTGAAAGAGGATCTAAAGGGGAATTTTGTCCTTTAATGTAGCAGCAAATAATATCTACGCATCAGCACCAAATAAAACCTCACCACCGCTACCTTACTGCCACTGCTCTGGCTTTCTGATTGTCATATTTTGATATACACATGCTGAAGAAAGTGTTCTTTTTGTTTCCTGTATTTGTATTTTTTGTTTGCAGACAAGGGATATGTCATTTGCAATTTCTGTACTAAAACTACCTCTTTATTTGTCATCATGTTACTTACTTTCAAATTATTTTGTCTTATTTATTGGTTTCATTGCACCAATGTTCTGTTTTTTTGTGTCTCTTGTTCCATTCAGTGACCTCTCAGATTTATCAAGCGGCGTTAGTTGTTTCTTCTTTTTTGTTTTTCTTTAAAAGGGTAAAAATATTGCCTCATTTTTCTCTCTACCTCAGAATCGCCTGCTGTTTGTCAGCAGCCTTTATTTCTCGTGTCAGGGATCCTCTTCCAACTCCTTTCTTTTTTATTCTCTCTCTCTCTCTCTCTCTCTCTCTCTTTTTTTTTGCATCATGTGAAATGAGCGTCATTGTATATTTCACTTCTGCCCTGTTATTGTGAATCTAATACCAAAGATGAAAGAATGTCAATGACAATGTCAGTGTACTGATTAAGCATTCACGTGATGCGTTCCCGCTGCAGTTAACCAGTGCTTTATTTTTCTGTGTTGACCTTATTGGAATACATCTTGTTATCGTGTGAATAGATGTTTGCTGTGCACGCTGAATTCTCTACATCATGATATGCCAGTGTGCCCTCCCCCCCATTGTTTCCCCATCCCCATGATTGTTGTTCATTGGTGAGACAGTTCAAGGTAACAGTGGGATCACTATCATAACTGACTCTGTCAAAGCTGCTTGTGATTGATTATCAATCGGAGAATGTAACTGTGGTCAAACTGACATCTCCTTGTGTTTACATGCTCTCGCTCGCGTGTGACCCTGACGCCGTGGCACGCGACAACAGACAGACTACTGCAGTGTTATCACTGGGGTTGGACTCACATGATAAAGAACGTGATGGCACCCGACAATGGGCAGCTCTTAGGACCAACGAGTCGCATCCTGGGTTTTAGTTGCATCCTATCACTTACGATACTTTGTATACTCATTGCAGAGATCTAGGGATATGGAGGACACAGTTGAACAACTCATTTGGAAGTGAAAATCAATGCAGCAACTGCATTTGCCATGTTTTCTGTAGATGTGCACATATGCAGTTTTACAAAATAGTGGCTACAACCAACATCTTTGGTGCTTTCAAGTCAATTATATACCTCCATACATTCTGTTAAACTGTACATTTATTTAAAATGTCATCACCTAAATGCTCATGTTGATTGCATTGAACTCCTGTTGTAATTGTCCCAGATCTTAGTCATGACAACTGATAGAAAACAGTATCATCACCCATAGGAATAATTCACGTTTTTTTTTTTTTTAAGGTTTTACAGAAAAGCTCAATTTTTCTTTAAAGAAAATAAAGGTAATGTAGTGAGAGAGGAACCACCATCTAATCCAGTACTCCACCATTAAATCCAGTAAAAAGTCAGTATATTGAGAACAACCTATCTGTCCAACCACAGTGCTGAAGCACTGTAAGAATATTGTTGTACAGGAGCACAAGATGTGAGGAGTTTGTGGGGAGCAAGAGTAGAAAAAAGGTGACATATCTCAGGGAAGAAATAGATTTACATGCTGTCA